TTTGCATGCATATGCACTCTACGTAGATGCAGTGTGCTGTAGAAATGTGAGTCTCGAACATGGTCGGACCGTGTGTTGCTTATTTTTGTACATATTTCCTAAAATCCATTTTCAGACAACAAACTTTGATGGCGCTGTGACGAGCGTTGCTTTTTGCCCAGAATCGAAATGGACCATTCTTGCTGTAACGTTGGCGACAGGAAAATTGATCGTATCGAATTCTTTCCACGGTGATCGACAGCTGATTGCATCCACGACGAAATATCTCGCCGAACTTCGAGAGCAAGTATCCCAAGATGAATCTCTGCAATGGAAACACGAAAAAAATGGCTGCATTTCAGTTGATCTCGGATATGTGAGCTTCCTTCTTCCGTATTTGCTGAATCGTACGATAATATTCAAATTCAGCGTTTCCGCGCTTTTGAGTATCACCTACGGCCTCGTGAAAATTTTGGCGGGTAAACTATTAACTCGGGGGTCACGGAAAGATATTCACCCTTCAAGGCTTCGAATTCAGCTTTCATGCACTGGTGCGTGAAATTTTTAACTGTTTTCCAATGTTTGAACTATTTCTGCATAGACTAAAGTACAGAGCTGTGAAAATCATTAATAGGCAGTCTTTCGATGAGCTGAATTGCACAAAACGCATGATCGCACCGGATAGTTTGGTGCGCGCTGCTATTTATTTTTCAATAAATCTAGTTAAAAATTCGCTTATTAAATTAGTCCGTTAATTAAAAACGGCGCCCATGCCTTAAATTTTTAAGAATTGTTCCTTCAGTTTAGTGCCCTGTTCTAAATGCTTTTTATGTTAATCTTATATGTCCATCATATATGACTTTGAATCTGAGCTAAGCTTCGCGAAAATTTAGGTTGCACGTCAAGTAGTGTGGCATCATAAAGGAGACTACTTCGCGACGTTTGCTGGCTCGGAGTCACCCAAACTCATTTATATACATCAGCTCTCCAGATGTAAATCTCAAGTAAGTCCTGAACTTTATCAACGAATCAGAGCTACTCATCACAAGTCCGTATTCAGTATCATAGAGGTCTCTTCAATTAAATTTGTTACACCTCAGTGCCGCCGAATCTGTAATTATCTCACTCATCAGTTTGTGGTATTGAGCGGGTTTTTTACCCTTAAACATGAAACACTGTTTTTTTGATTTTTGGCTTGGATTTTTCACTGTCCCACCGATTTTAGTTCATTTTCTCTTTTCGTCCCGTCCCCTCTTCCTATTCTTCTTCCCTCTGTTCCACTACACCATCCCATCTGCATCAGCAGCTAGTTAAAAAACGTTAAAAATGAAAACTACAATGACGCGCACAGCTTTGCGCGAACCAAATCACGCATCAGTTACTGATGCCTTTGCTAAAAATGACACATATTTTGCATTTTTTTTTTGCGCCTCGCTCGTTAGGGTTTAGATTTTTAATATTTGTTTTCTTTGTTTTTTGTACAGCACACTTTGCATTCGAACTATTACATATTGTGATTCTTTTTTGTTTATTCCTAAGTTCTCTTTACGCGAGCGACTTTAGCGCCCACACTAGAAGAGGGGAAGGAGGTATGGAAACGACTGCGGTCCTTTCACCGTCTTCCGCTTTCTCAGAACGCAGCACTGGAAAGGGAAATACTATTTACGTATGCTTCGGAAATGAATTTGAAAATACAAACTGATTTGCAGCGTCCATTTTCTCGCTTAAAAGGCATCGTGACAGCTTTATCGTTTCACCCCCGTCAACCGCTTTTCTTTGTTGCAACACAACGGCATGTGCGCATCTATGACTTGGCG